ACACACACACACACACACACACACACACACACACACACACACACACACACACACAGAGTGAAGCAACACATACAAAGCCAGGGTCAGAACTAGGATGGCAGATTAAGAAATAAGCAAATGAAACATTGTGGCTGTGGATGACAAATGACAGTTACAAAAAAAAAAAAAAAAAAAAAAAAAAAAAAGCAGCAGACTTGGCAGAAACACATCACAGTATCTAGAGGGCACATGAGTTCAAACCAGCGCTTTCCAGACAGAGTTTTCAACATCTCAGAACTGAGCTTCACATTTATAGAATGAGGTACTGTGAAGTCACAAGCCTATACATAAAACAAGTACTTCAAGATGGCCTTACTTGCTAATGAACACCACTAAGTTATCTATTTACCCTATGAATACAGTACTACACTACTTTGACACTACAGAAAATATGAGAACCAGTCCATTGCTTTCTACTGAAAATGCCTATCCATATTCACCACACCGATTTTAGGAACAGCTGTTCTGTACGGTTTAAAATAGTAAAACACACAGTAAGTGAAATAAATAGCAAAATCTTTGTTTTCTTTTTTGGGGGAAAGAGTGTGATATTTTCTTGTGCTGTGTTTTCTTTTATTCTATCTTAATTACAGCTGTAACAACAACAACAACAAGAACCCAGCAAATTAGACACTTCTTTACAAGTTTAGTATAAGAGTTGAGAAATCCTGAATCGTCCAGGCTTAGGTAGAGATCTCTCTTCTTCAGTCTAAAGGTGTGTGTGTGTATATATATATATATATATATATATATATCACAAACACTGGCTGCTGCTAAAGCATGTTATCACAACCTGTAGTTACAGTGCAATTTGATGGAATGCTGCTTCAAGACCACAAGCATTCAGCCAATGCTTAAATCATAACAAGAAATACTCTTTTTGAACAATTAAACTGTTTTCACAGGATAAAAAAGTACACACTACTCATACACAAATGCCTCAGATTAAGCAGATTTCATTCAGATCTTTCAGATAAGTTTGTGATGCGTGGTTTTATTTTACATGCACACATAATTATGATAGATCTTTTCCATTATGAAAAGCAAGCATTTATGGTGAGAGATCTATACTGGAACTCAAACACTTGCCCCCTGCCCTCTAGAGTTGTTCAATTTTTGCTCTTGACACAAAGTTTGCACTTGCAGGACAAGTACACTGCAGACCCATCAGCTCCTCACTATTCTTCAGCAGTTGCTTCTCCCACGCGAGGTCTCCCAAGAAACGAAGAAGGAAAGAGAGCATGTGTTGGACCCGTGTCCAACGTGAACACCCGGTCAAGTCCGTCGCTTGAAGGTTTTCCCGACCCCGCTTAGCTTTCTCCCACCTCGGCCGGCACTGCCAACTCCCCGCTACCCCGAAGGGGCCGCTCGCTCAGCTCCGAGGAAGCAGCATCCTTCCATGCCCGCGGGCCGCGGCTTTCCCAAAGCAGCAGCCAGGGCTGAGCAGGGCCCGGCTCCCCGAGTCATCGTGCTCGGGGAGGGCACGGCAGCCATCAGGGCGCTCTGGGCCCTACCTCGCGCGACCGGACAGCGCGGTCAGCGGCCGCCCGCCCTCCTCCGGCGTTCCGCGGCGCCCGCGACGCAAACGCGGCCCCCGAGGCCCGCGGAGCTGGGTTGGCTCCGGAGCCAGCAGCCCAGGCGGGCGCCATGCTAAAAACCAAAATGGCTGCCCCAGGGAAGGGAGCCCAGCTCAGGCCGTGAGGGGCTGCGCCTCTGCCAGCCCCGTCGCCCGACGACGTCGCTTCGCCCGCCGGACCTCGCTCAGGTACCGCCCCCGTCCCGGGCGACCGGTCCGGCCTCAGAGAGCCGCCGGCCCCGCTCTCCCGGGCAGCCCCGCTCCCGCCGCCCGCGCGCGGCCCTGAGCGCCCCGAGCCGATTCCTGCCCCGCGCGGAGCCCGCCCCGGCCCGTACCTGCAGCTCGGCCCGTTCCACCTCCCAGTGCGCCCGCTCCATCTCGAAGCGAGCCCACTCGTGCTGGATGTAGTGCAGGATCCCCGGGATGGTGTAGTGCTGCGGCCGGGACAGCTCGGCAGGGCCCGCCGCCTCCTGCCCGCCCGGGGCCGCGGGGCCCTGCGGCTGCTGCTGCCCTCCGCCGCCGGCTCCGGCCCCCGCGCAGCCCCCGCCCGGCTGCAGGTTCACGTTGCCTCCGCTCTGCGGCGGGGGCTGCTGCGGCCTCGGCGCGGCCGCCATCCCGCCGCCTCCTCCGGCTCCAGGGTGCTCGTCCATTGTCTGCGGGGAGCCCTCCTTCTCGTCCCGCGGCGGGAGCCTGGAACAGGGGCCGGGGAGGGGGCGAGCGGCGCCGGCTGGGACGGGTGGGAGGAGGCGGGCCGGGTACGGGGAGACGGGGGGCCGCGCCGAGCGGTATCCGGGTGTCAGAGCAGCGCTGAGCCGCCGCCAGCCGCCATTACAGCCTCCCGGCCGTCGGCCCACCCACCCGCGCCGGGCGGGGAGGGGAAGGGGGAGCGGCGCGGCGCGCGAGGCCTGCCGGGAAGTCGCTCCCCTCTCCCCTCCGCTTCTTCCTCCCGGCCCGTCGAGGCGACGGAGCGCGCGTGCGCCTGTGGGAGGTGAGCGCCGTACCCGGGGGCGGGGGAGCGCGTCCTTCCCGCCGTCGCCGCCGGTGCGGGCGCGTGGTGAGGCGAGGCGGCGGGCGCTTGCGGGGGGGTTTGTGAAGCCTCTCCGGTTGCGCCTCGCGGGGCAGTGCTCAGGGCTCCCGGAGGCGTTCGGTTTGCTTCACAAGTAGGTGTTTCTAGAATAGGTTGGCTAAGCGTATTCTGGTGGTGCCCCATCTTAACTGTATTGTAACGAAGGTCGTCTTCGTGGTGTAGTGTTTGAGGGGTTTGCGTAACGTTTTTCCTCCGTGATGGGAAGAGCCAGCTGAGCAGTAACCGCACGAGGGTGCTTTCGCGAGTGACAGGCGCGTCGTTAGCAGCTGCGGGCTCGGTGTGCCACGGCAGCTGAACACGGGCTGGTGGCACCGCATGTATGTAGTGCCACCTCCTCTGCTGCACTGCACAGCTCCGAAGTGCAGCGCTTCCGAGTGACCACCACATCCTGTTGGATCTGTAGGCCACCTCTTCTCGCGTAACAGGGGGATTTGGTTTTGCTTCCCTATAAATACGTGTATGCTGTATATACGGGCAGGGACATGGACAGTGTCCTTAACGGGCTCATTCTTGACAGTGCTGTAATTGTCTTAAGTGCTGGAAAATAAATCCCGCTTGTCCCAGTGCTGGCGTTTCCTCTCTGCTGATCTCTCCTCAGGTGCACGTTGCTGTTTCAGTTGTTTTACCAGTTCCTATCCGACTTTTCTCCATTAAGTCATTTCCTACCATCATTTCCTCAGTCCTCCCTTTTCCACACTGATCAGCCTGTCTAAATCCAACTCTTCCACCTCAGCAGATCTTTTCATTGTCCCCTGACAGTATCAAATCATTACCAAAAACTGCACCTTACCTCACAGCCAGCTTAGCCCTTTGTTTTATTCCAGCCCTTGAGACGTTCCTCATTCCTGAATACCTTGGAGTTGCTGCAGTTTAGCTTCAGTACTATATTCAGAAAGCATTCTGACAACCACATTGCAAAGGAAAAGTTTTTTACAGCTTCCTTCCTCCTTGGCTTCCCTAGACCAGTGAGGTTGCTTTTCTTAAAATTCCTGATCTTGAAGTTAAATATGGTGATTTATTTCAAAGCCACGTTGACAAAGTTGTTTCATTTCTAGGTGGATAATAATTTGAACACTAAGACCCAGAATACAAAAATGGTTACTCTTATTGATATGACTTTTGTTAAAACCTTGTCCACAGTCAGAACAAAAATAGAACATAGATATCAATTGCATGAACTGTCTTCATTTGGTGCATGGCTTTTCACAATGAATTTGTAGCTGGGAAGTTGAGCAGACCAATGTATACCTCAAAAATGTTTGCCCACCTGCTGTCCCCCCTGCTTGCACTTCTATCACTTGGCTATTTTTAATTCCAGATTAACCTATTTTGTTCTACATTTAGTACAGGCAAAACACAATTACAACCTGTGTCCAGAAAATCAACTCATTAATAGAGTTAGTGCAGTGAATTATTGACTTGCAGTTCTGTTTAATTCTTGTCAAAACAAATATATAAAAATATAACCACGTGTTTCTTGCTTGCTAGATTTGATCTCTTAAATATGCTTTAAGTCAGAGTTCTAAAGTGTTGGAGAACTTCGATGTAGCACAATAACTTCTACATCTGTGAATGTTGACTAGAGAGGTTATGATTTGATGGAAATCTAATCTGAATGAGAACTCTGTTGCCTGAGGTCTCAAACTGGGGTTCTGTTTCTTTTTCATAATCTATGTGTCAGAGTATGTATGTACAGATATTGGTGAAATCTTGGTCAAAATAAGCTACTGGAGATGTAATTAAAGTTGTTTAAAATGTGTTTTCTATTACTGCGTATGAGATCTGCTGGTCTGGCCACACTGGAGATGTAAGACCTCCTTTTATCCACAGAACAGGTATTGCAGGCTTGGCCTCTCTAAGAGGTCTCAGCAAGTATCTGAAAAGACACGTAGAGGGCTGTGACTCATCAACAGGGACAGTCTGCACTACGGTGCCTCACAAGGTTACGCTGCTTAGTGAGCTGGCATCCTGGAAGCACATCTTTCACAGCTTCCATTATGGTGTTTTGAAGCAAACTGGGTGGATTTGAGTTTGAGTACAAAGCTGGAGTTATGTATACAAACACGTGAGAAAAATGAGCCTGCTTAGTGGCAGAAAAATCCAGCATCATCTCACTTTGTGAGCTGGGGGTTGTTAAATCTTCAGCTTATCTATTGGTGTAGAATGAGTTAAAGTTATGGTGTAGGTCATCAACAACTACATACTGCATCAGTCTGCTGCAGTAAGTCACAAGCACCGATCATGATTCCAGTTTTTTCTCACAGGTATTTATCTGCAAGAGATACTTTAATGAGGGTGAGATCTAATACAGTGTATAACAATGCATGTATATCACAGGAGTTATGCTGAGCGTGGTTTATGTGTATGCCAAATTAGCCATACAGAAGAAACCTCTTGTGGAAGAAATAGACAAGCCGCTCTGTGGCTCACACTTCGGTACTTTGGAAGGAAAGACCACAATTTCAAGATGTTTTATGTCTTCTCTGTATGGTATTTTTGTGGGTTTGGATTTTGTTTGTTTCTCAGAGTCTCCATGATGTTACAGTGCATCACAGGTACTCGTAGATACAGAAGCAGATACTGTAGGCTATTCTGGACACAATTTCAAATGCATGGCTAACCCTGACAGGGAGAGCTGGGCTTGACAGGCCATCGGGGATCTGGGTATTCCCCTCCAGTCTTCTATTCTTGAGCCCATTTGTGATGCAGATAGTTGTCCGCTGACCTGGAATGAGGCTGCCTATTCATTCCTGACAAACAGCCTTCAGATAGCAACATCTTTTCATAACTAAAATGAGCAAAATAATGGCTCACATCTTGTCACCAATTCTCTTGAAGCACTCGATTCTGTAAGCAGAAAGGCATAGTAATTCATATTGGATTTGAGCATATATGCACTCACACATGCAGGCACGCACGTGAGAATGCGCAGAAAAGCATGTAGGAGTTGCATTGGAAGAAACAGAACTGTCTTTGTAAGTAGTGCTTGTTGGACATAAAATCTAGTTCCTGAAATACATGGAACTTGATGGAACAATGGAACATTCTCCACTCATCAACATGCACAGCTGTGCACACTGTTACATAATATATACGTATATATATATATATATACACATAATATATACGTATATATATTATATACGTATATATATTATATTTATATATATATATTATAATATACATATATATATTACATATATATATATATATAATACATATATATTATATATATATGTAATTTGACATGTAAATCAGATAGGAAATGTATTCCAGGATTTCTGCAGAAGACTATGTGCTTTTACTGCCGTTTGTGTGAGAAAAAAATAATGTTAGAAGCTGTGCTTGAGGCTGGCAACAAAATACTTAGAGAAATAACTGGTGATACTACAGGCCTCTCCTCTGCAGATGTTAATCACCTACTCTAATACTATGAATGATGTCTGTCTTTTATGACAGGTGACACATTTGACTACTACTGTGGCTCTGCCTCTGTTACAGCATAATTCATTCATATTTCTATAACGAATCTGGGTAAGAGCATTTGTGAGGATTTGAAAAAATAATAATTTGAGTCTGAAGTATTTTTTGCAGGCAAAATAGTACAGGCCTTAAGAAAGAATAAGCAGATACATTAGTCATAATACCAGAAAGGGATTAAGCACGTAGGAAGATTAGGTTAACAAAAGAATAATTAGGATTAGGGGCAATCCTGCAATAGGATACATGTACATCAATTCATAAGGTTTTTTTTTTCTATTAGATATTCCTTAGTGGTAACTTAGAATACACCAGCTCTCTTCAAGGACAGGGCTGATTCATCTCACTGGCATACTTTTCTTTTTTTATTCCTTTGAGTATTAAGGCATCTCTTCTTACTGCTCCTCTGTAAATTAAGGCAGCAATACAAAATAGGAAAAAATAGGGCCATACACGAAATGCAGAGAAGATTATATAGGAGTTGCCTTCTCATTTCATCATAAATGTCAGCCTGAAATGCCACCTGGCAGTGAAGATTCCTTAATACACTTCCATCTGGGCCTTTTGTGTCTCAGTTGCCTCATTTGTTCTTTCTCAGAGAATCGTTTCCACTCCCTGAAGAGTGCAAAGCCTGGACAAGCAGTGTGCACTCTTCAGCAGCGCTTACTGACATCCCTGACTCATCCGTCTGAGGGAACCAACAAGAGGGCACTTCTCTTCTTGACATAAAGAGTCTTCACTCTGTCTAGGAGGTGAGAAAACAGACCGCCAGGGTTGCAAGCAGACTCTATTGTCATCTGTATTGATTCTGGACTCTTGTTCCCTGCAGGTGTCCTCCACAAGAGCAGATAAAAAAGGAATTTTCAGAGTAAGAGGGATAAAAGCTTTCTTGCAGATGTACGGTAGTGCAAAGGAAGAGCTCTCCTTGATAGCTGATGCATCCTCTGGTATTTTCTCTTATCTACTCTTCCATTTCAAATATATTACCTGTGTAAATAGCTGTGTGTAGAGGACAGTAAAGGGAAGAAGAGGATTAAAGTTATCTTCTCTAACTGTAAGTCACAATTAAAGCCATTTTTTTCTCCAAGGGCAGTATGTCTGACAGAAAAGAATCCAGTCAAAGAATTTTTTTCAAAATATTTTTGGTGAAGATTTCTTTAAGGCAATATTGCTCCTCCCAGGCCGCTTTTCTGAAGTAGGTCTGTATGAACCTGTGTATCAGTGGCAGGATTTTTTCCTTTTATTGTTGACTGACTTTTGTGGGTTTGGTGTATGATTTTTTTCTCAACATATGGCATTTTAAAACATTTCTAACCAAGGATAAGAAATGCCTGTACAACATCTTCTAATCACTTTTGGTAAAAGTGACACATATTTGAGAGTAAGTTTTATTTATTTAATTAGCTCTTACAGTTACAATCCTAGTGTTTCCTCTGGTTTCATTTTCCTTACTGACAATGCTTCTGAAACTGTAGATAACATAAAGTTATCACTGTTCACTTCGTTAAGAAACAAATTCTCATTATTGTGTAGATGCATTTAATATAGAAATCTAAACTTCTTTGTTTAGGGAGTAAATCACAGCATGAAGTGATCATTTTCTTCAAATAGCAACGATGTTAACAGAGATGGCTTTTCTTTCAGAAAATAACTAGGTGGATAGTATTAATCAGAAGTAAGCAGTAATTGATGTCAGCACAATATGTTGGGACTTTTCCCATCTCTACCATATAAAATTTAGATTTTCTATTTTTTCCCTTTTCTCCAAGATACATGGTTTTTACACAGCTGCATTGTACTCTTCTCTGTTCTCAGGATTTCTGAGATGTTAGGAAAGGGTATTTGCATTATAACTTCTAAGCACCAGGCAAGAAGCAAGTCTTTAAAACTGGAATGAAGAAATAACTTTTGCAGTAGCTGCTGTTTTGCCAATGTGTATGCTTCAAGAACACAAGGGCCAATAAGTCCTTGATCCGAGGAGAGTCAGACAGAAAATGTTACAGTAACCATTTTGTAGCATTGAAGAAAATAATAGAAAACCTCATTAAAAAAAAAAAAAAAATATATATATATATATATATATGCGCAGCTTACCTTTTTCTGCCTGCTTTCAATAATATGTCAAAAATGCCTGTTTTTGTATGGTAAGCAAATTCTGTGTTCTTTTTGATAGTCTTTTTCATTGTACTTTGTATTTGGCATATTTATTCTCCGTGTCTGTGCTTCAGTAACATTGTATTAATGTTGGATTGGATTAATACTTATTTAGAGATTAAGCTATTTTAAGTGATTAACACTAACAGATTTCTCCTTAGAAATTTCTCCTAAGCCCCATGTGCAGTTTTTGTAAATTGCAGAGCCTACCTTTCCTTTCCTTCCTTTCCTTTCAGTGCCAGTCTTTCTTGAAAGTCTTTTATAACTCCTATGCTTACTGATTTATTTTTTTTTTCCTTCTCTCTCCTCACAGAAATAATCTTATAAATTCCTACATCCTATAGATTCCTACATTCAAATTGACTGTGGAACTCAACAAAAAAAAAATGATAAAATTTTTTCTTATGGTGAACAAACAAGGTCAAACTAGGCTCTCCAGGTATTATGAGCATATAGAAATTCATAAGCGGACAATGTTGGAAGCTGAAGTAATCAAAAACTGTCTCTCTCGTTCAAAGGATCAAGTAAGTTTTTTAATTCCCTAGTTGTTTTATTGCACATAAGTAATTCCAGAAACATGGCAGTTTTCTTTGTAGGTCACTATTTCATTTGTACCCACGAAGAACAAAAATGTTTCTCCATAGTGTTCATGTAGATGAGCTGTTATTCTGTACTGAATGAATGCTTCTGTGGAGCTTATAATGATTTTGGAGTTTTCTGTATCACTGTTATAGAAGAGACTTCCTTTGCCTGAAAGAGTTCAGAAGTCCAGGAATAATTTATTTTTTCCTGTTACTGCTTCTCTAATAGTGATCTATAGATAGACCCTAGTCTTCTTTGCCAAGAAGGGTGGAGGTATAGCATGGACAGCTCCAATTTTAAACAAAAAATTTGTTAGAGAAGATTCCAAATCACGTACTACCTAAAACATAGGGTTTTTGAGTTTTTTTTAAAACATATTTTTCAGCCATCTTGGGCAAAAAAAATCATTTTTAGGCTTTTATTTCTTTTTTCTTTTTCTTTTATTTTTAAAGTTTTTAAACATTGTGCATGAAAGTGAGAAAACTCAGCTTTTGGATTTTCTGTTAGATTGCTCTTGAGATTTTCATGGCTCACATAATTGGGCTGTTGGTTCTTTAAGAAAAGTACCAAAATTAGCAAAAAAATTCAAGATACATTTGGTGAGAAATGTGACTGTGAGTGCTTTTTTTTTTTTTTAATTTGTGTTCTGAATTCAGCTTATTTTTCATTAATTGTGTGTCTTGGAACAGTGGTCTTAACACATTTAATTCTAGAAAAAAAATCATACAAAAAAACTCATATAAACTGCAGATTCACAGAATTAACAGCAACTGAAGAAATTAACCTCCTCCACCCTGCTTGCAAGAGCATGTCAAAATAGAAACTAAACCAGAAGAATTAACAGCATGCTGCCATTTCAAGGACTGAGCAAAATCTTAGGAAAAGGTTATTTGTAAAGCTGTGTGTAACAGCACCATCTACTGGCTCCTGACTGGCGGTGAACTGCAAGTGGATTTTTCCCTTGTATTTGACTGTCTAGTACACCTAGTATTTATAAGAAGATTGACCATTCTTAAATATGAAAATGATCTTCAGTTGCCTCTTTTGTAAGTGTTTCTAATTGAAAATTTAGAGGGAATAGTGACTGCCCTTGCATTAAAACCTGAACAAATTCTTTCAGTTCTACATGTTCCAGTTTATCCATATAAGAAGCGATACTTCGATAGTTTTCTGTCAATAGATGAAAGGTTTAATTTCAAAGTTACCCCCCTAAACTTATATTAAATCAAAATTACCTGTTGGACACTGGGAAAACCATTTGGTTTTATATGCTTTATATAAAGGAAAGATTAATAATGTTTCAAGCTTAACTGGCAGCTACTAAGTTTGACAAGTTCTGTTTTGCCTAGTGCTCTTTCATTGAGTATAAGGACTTTAAGTTGGTATACCGACAGTATGCAGCCCTTTTTGTAGTCGTTGGAATCAATGAGACAGAGGTAAGAAATTATATACAGTCTTTAAATATAAGCTTGTAGTAATCAAAAACAAGAACTCAAGCTTTTTTTCCAGTATGGAATTTGCAGTATATATTAGAGAGCTTCAATTAGACATGACAAAAAAAATGTACTTCTTGTAAATAGAAGAGAAGGTTCCAAGGAGTCCTTATAGTGGCCTTCTGGTACCTGAAGAGGGCCTCCAGGAAAGCTGGGGAGGGACTTTTTATAAGGGCAGGTAGCAACAAGACAAGGGGAAATGGCTTTAAACTGGAAGATTAAACTGGTAGATTTAGACTAGATATTAGGAAGAAATTCTTTTCCATGACCAGTGCTGAAACACTGGAGAGAGGTTGTGGATGCCCCCTCCCTGGAAGCATTCAAAGCCAGGCTGGATGGGTCTTTGAGCAACCCAGTCTAGTAGGAGGAGTCTCTGCCTATAGCAGGGGGGTTGGAACTGGATGATCTTAAAGAACCTTCCAATCTATTCTGTGATTCTATAAATTTAAAATTGTGGGGTGAGGTTTGTTAACAAATATCAGCATCGCAGGCAGCTCAGTTGTCTCCTGTGTGGTGAATTCCCAGCTGCTCCCTGTTTTCAGCTTCCTTGGACAAAGGAAGAAAATCCATACATTACCTAGAAAGATGCTATTTTATTTTTAAAACAAAAGGAAAAAAAAAAGTATCTGACTGAAAATTACTAAGTACTGTTACTTAATAAGCCTTGAGGACTGAGTCTGAACTGAAGTGATTTACAGTTCTTGAAAATTAATTTTAAGCTTACACCTGAAGACATTAATTTGTTTATAACTTACTTTCAGAATGAGATGGCAGTATATGAACTAATTCATAATTTTGTGGAGGTTCTGGACAAATACTTCAGCAGAGTGGTGAGTGAGACTTTGAATCTACTGTGATATATTTCTTCTTCAATGCTCTAGAGAATGTCTTTTCAGGGGAAGAAAATAATTTTATTTTTTTTTTAATATTCATGTATCACTGTGAAAACAGCAGCATAATGTTACTACTGTTAAAAAAAAAAAGAAGAAGAAAAAAAATTATTAAGAGTATTAGTTGATTTTTCAGACAAGTAAAAGCATGCATGGTCTATTTATCATCAGACAAGGATTACCAGAAATGTTTCTGAAAGGAAAGCATGTTCTTATATGCTTATACTCAGGGATTTCTTTAGCTCATTGCTCTCAAAATAGCCACTGGCATTTTATATTCCAAAAGGGTTTTTTTTTTTATTTTTATTTATTTATTTATTTTTTTTAAAGCAGTTTAGGACTATGTTCCTACATCGTTACAAAAGCAGTTGTACCAGATAGCCTCTGTAGAATGATGGCACAAGAACATTCTGGCTCTTGAGATTTCATTTGCTCTATCCCTCTAATTTTGTTCAGTGAGAGTAACGACAGCTCCCTACTTAATGCTTACACTGTCTTCATCACGACTTCAGTAGGAACACAGTCCTAAAATGCTATTAATTGCAGTTCTGGCACTATTTAATACAGAATTTGTAATAATCTCATTTTAAACAAATTTGAGTTGAATAATATTTAAGCATAATTTTAGATTGGCTTTATTAAAGTGTGGTGGATACAATTTCCTCCATAGTCCATCAGTCTGAGAGTATTACATTGGTAATTACAAGAGAGCATCACACAATGTTTATGGTGCTTATGTAGTAGATCCAAAGTAGACGTGGCAGATCTTCCTGTATGAATTCAAGGGCATGACTGAAAAAGTCTCCTAAACTCTTCACCATTTAAAGAGTTTCCATGCCATTCTTTGTGTTCTATTTTCAACTGCATATAACATGGTAGAACACTGAAGAAGGTGGCCATAATTCTAGTTAGGGTTTCTGTCAGTAACCACAGAGCAAAAAATATTTTAAGTTTGTACAGTTATGGATTAATGTTTAGAATTTGCATGATTTTAGAGGACCAAATTATGACAACAATGGAAACAAAACTCTGGAAAAGGAAATAGCATCTGTTCTCTAGAATGACACTTCATCTATTATTTTTTAGGTTTGTGAGTATTAAATATTTTCACACTTTGTTTTTGTCTGATGCAGTTTACAGAGCTTGAATTAAAATATAAGCACAAATATTAACAGAATGAACTGTGAGTGCTATGATATGTAATTCTGAATCACCTTCGCTTCCATTATAGCTGCTCAGGAAGAACCATGCATACTGTTTAGAATACACACTCCAATGTTTTCAACTGCTTTTTAATACTAAGTTCAAACTGATTAGACTTCTTAAAATAGAGTTTTGTGATGAATAAAAATCTCTAACCAAAGGATGGCATGGTTACTCAGTGCAGACCAGTCTGACTTAGAGCATCCTTGGACCACAGAAGTTGTACTTCTATCAGTGAAAACTAACTAAAATTCCAGGGCTAGTCTGTGAATGGTGGAATCCATACCAACAAATATAGTAAATTCCCTTAATAGCAGATGAAAATATTCTGAGGGAACATTTTTCTTTCATCGGAGACTGGGGAAGTCAACTCTAAGTGTGCGGGATCTGAGGCTGTGACTAATTGTTTCTAAATTTAAACATTTAGCTGAAGCACCCAAGTTAGATGTCTGGTCATCCTATGCTCCCATTACAGGGACAGAGACAAACAAGTATCTCTAGAAAGTGAGTCATGTCTCAAGTTTGCTGAGACAACTGCTGAAGATACCCATCTCATGTGCTGAGTGTAGAGAGACCACAAGGGCTGCTAGCTCAGACAATTCACTTAAATGAAGTTGGTTGGGCTGAAGCAATAGCTGTACGTGGTAGGGGTCCAGTGCATAGAGTTGCTGTCTGTCCTAATGTGTGCTGCACAGCTGCCACCACCATGGGTATACACTCATGTTTTTATAAAAATTATAAACTTTGCATTGCCATCTTGTTTTTGCAGAGGAAGAAAGATTATAGGGCTGAAGATGCCATAAGCAGATGTGCTGTTTTTCTGCCTATTCTCTGCGACAGCACTGCATCTATTCTCATTTTCACTCGTGACTTTAATGGGTTGGTTTTTTCTTAAGTAAAATTTTCAGAAGCTTAGCTTTTGTTAGAGGTAGGTAATACATCAAATGCAAAGGAGCAGTGCAGTAAAGAGCACAGAACTGTGCAGTCCATAGAAGAATATTGATCAGCCTAATTTTTTTAATCTCTATTTTGAAGACTTTATCATCTGAAGGGATATGTAACGTTCAATGACTATGAGATGAAAATCAGACTGTGATTAATGTTTATCTCTCTTTCTTTCAGAGTGAATTAGATGTATCCTTTTTGGTATCAGAAAGCCATTTGTTTACCTCTTTTTGGTGTATATTCTAGCAGTCAGTGATACACTTGAGTTTACCTTTAATGGAAATAGGTAACATTTGTGCTTTTTTTTGTGTGTGTTTGTTTTTTGGTTTTGTTTTTAATTAAGTAGTTTTGTTAGTTGAATAAACAAGTTGTCCCAGTGATGCTTCTTCCTAATGTGTTAATATCACTATATAAGCCTCTCTTTCATGTATTAAATAAGTGGGTGGAATTTCAAGTAGCTCTAAAACCACAGCTAAGGTAGCATAGGAGCTACTTTCCTGGTGTGATTATCACAAATGATAAAAATGGAAGTGTTATTGCAGCAGCTTTGTGGGGAACAACTTGCTGCTAAGTATGAAAGTTTTACAAAATTACAAAAAGCTGACTTTTGTGTTGCTTGGACTGGTGAAGCAGTGCTTACTTGAACACATAAGTAACATATAAGAAGAAACATATTTACATTCTCCTTGTGGGAGAAAGAAGGAGCATTCTCTAGAACCAAGTATTTGAAGAATGTTGCTTAGATCCAAAAAAGAACATTACATTCCATTGCAGCTAGCTGCTTCTTCCAGGATAGAAAAAAAGCTTTGATACAGGGAATACTTTATGTGAGTCAAGTGTATTCTTCTGTCCACTTTTAGAACATGGCACACATAATTAAAAAATTCAATTATGAATTTATATTGACAATCTTTAAGGAAACAAGTTAGTAAACTGTAAAATAAGTGGATGAAATGGAAACTCACATGGATTAGCTTAAAATTGTTCATTAAGGAAAAGTTTCTCTCTAGGGTCATAATGTTAGGGAATGTGCTCACAGAAGATCAGCCACCTTACAGACTTTCAGAGAATTTATCCCGGAGTATCAACTGCTGTTAGATAGGCTAGAAATTACCTAAAGCAAACATCTGAAAAGATAAAATGACAATACATGATATTGCTTGAATCTAGATTAAGAGAAGAAAAAAAACAAAAACAGCAGCTTCAACTAACCTTTAGATGAATGAAGATGAATGATCCAGACAGAAATCAAAGTTCTTTAATACTGTATATTCAGTAGCAAAGCACATACATACTCACACTATAATCTGTACAGATTTTGTTTGTGCTCCTGGGTGTGGTGCCTGATCACAAGGTGTTGGTTGTACTTTGTAATGTCTTGAGCTTGTACACACCCTCAATTACTTACCTGGAATATCCTGAGATATCTTAAAATGTTTCTATATGACTTGAATGAGCATTTTTCCCTCCCTTCTTCCCCACTTCACTATTTGCCTCTAAGATGTCTCAGGGAAGGAGACACAGGATTATGTCACATTTATCTCCTTTTAGTATGTGTGCCACATAAAAACTCCTAGTGAGACTAAAAAGTACTGTTAAGGTATTTCATAATGGCAGCTCTTGGAGTTACCAATAGCCAGCAGAACATTTAAATACCAATTTTAGTAGGTGCCATTACCTCTACTGCCAATCTAATGGCCAAAACTGTACTTACTATTCTTACAGGAAGCAGGACTATAAATGAAAAGCTCTGGGTGATGTACATGTCAGTACACACCATATATAGCTTTTCCTGTTGCCAGCTGCTCAAACTGGCTTGCTCTGGTGATTTTCAGCTGGGTGTGGATCTGTGACTTCAGGGCTTTAAACCCTGAAATTTGGGGTGAATTGCCAAACAAGTGACAGGTGGAGAGGATGAGTGTTGCTGAAAATCAGAGACATCTCTCACTGGGCAGGGCAGGCAGACTTGAATGGCTAAGCAGTGTTTTATGTCAAGATGCAACAGCAGAGAAGAATCATAAGTCTTACAGGAAGGGGAAAAAAAGCCAAGATTATTCACTGTGCAAGTCTGACTGTTTGCCAAGAACAGCATGGTAAAGTGAGGTGTGAACACAACTGAAGAAGGAAGCCTATGTTTGGTTGAGAGGAGGGGGTGAGTGATGCCACTCTGGGGGAACTGTAGTGCTGTTATCACTGAAGTTAGTAGACTGCAAAAATTAAAAGCCAGCAGGAGTTAGCTTTATTGCCTGTTGAAACTTGAATGGAATGTTATCTAGCTTTGTGAACAGATCCTCCCTGCCCTATGTAGGTCAGTGTCACAGTTGATCAAAACAGGAATAGAACAACTCTCCCTAAAAATTCTCACATCACAGTAATAAGGAAGCCATAACTAATCAGAATAAAACATTTGTGAGAAGATCAATTTGCATGAAAAGTGGAATATAGGAAAAAAAAATTTAAGTCTTCACTCTGCCAAGGAAAGCAAAAAAAGACCACAAAAACCTTTGGCTCTGAAACTGAAATTGTTCATGTTTTAAGGACAGTACTGTTCCTCGGTATTGAAAGGCTTGAGTCTGATATTTAGAAGCAACTTTGCCTACAGTCAAATTCAGAAAGAGGTCCAGAATTTAAATACAACCTAAAATTAAGTTAGGTGGTTAAATTTGCCAAATTGGAAACTATTTGATGAACCACAGACGTATTAAAGCATGATCACTTTTTGAGACAGATGGTAAGTAACATTAAGGAAACAAATATCCATTGTTATGGATAAATTTCAGATAACATGAAGGTATGCATTCAGTTTCAGATTATCTTCCTTTACTTGAATGTTAGATTGTAAACATCTTTCAGAAAGCGTGTAAATTAAACACAAGCCATTTAGTTTTAGCCTTCTTCAAGATTTATTACTAGATTAATGCATTAACTTTTTGAATCACATTACTCTTAAGAAGCTATTTTCAAGAAAACTAAATAACGTCAACAATTCATGGCAAGGAAAATTATACTTGAGAATCAGATTTTAAGAATTTAAGAATTCAAATTGCTTGATTAGTTTGATTAGAAGAAATACAGGACATTGGCATCTTCACATTCAAATCATTATCCCTTGATAACATTTTATATTTATGCAATAAATGGTTCTCAGGCCAACAGTAAAATTAATCACCAGCGTCTACATTCAAGTTTACTTTTCTTTTACTTCTGTGTTGTAATAGTGCAAGATGTAACCCTAACCCTAGTACCAACTTCAGATATCTCCAATGATGGCCCATGAAAAGCATTGCCTGACCTGTCTCCTTACAAATAGACAACTAACTAGCACACTTTAATACCTACTTTTTAAATTTTTCTTTTTTCAGATTTTTCTTTGAATTTTTCTTAATATAGTTCAAAATATACTTAACTTGTAACGTTTCTAGATCATGTTCAATTTGGATAGAGTGCACATCATACTGGATGAAATGGTGCTAAATGGCTGCATTGTGGAAACAAACCCCAGCAGAATTCTTGCGCCGCTGTTTGTGCTCGACAAAGTGGCGGAGAGCTAGGAAGATGCAAGACTGACTGAAGCATTTAACAAAAGATGGTGAAATCCTCTAAAGCATACCAACAAGCAATCCTCTCATTTTGCAAGACCAACTCGTGCAATATTTAAAACAGCTGAAAAATATTTCCTGCTTCTCCTGTACCCTGAAAAAGACATAGAACCACAAAGTGGAAACTTTATTTTCAGACTTGCTAAGGACACAGCAGAAGCCTTTCTAGAAAAAGAAACTCCTCAAGAATTGTTTCTTCTTTCCAACAAACTAAGAATAAAGCAATGGAAACTTACTTGTGACTGTGTAGGTATTGCTCTGAATCACGTAGCATTCTGCCAGATCTAGAAAGACAGAAAATATGGAAAAACAATTTCAAACTAACTTTCAGTGACACTTCTTAAAACAACAATATGATTTTTTATTTTCATTCGTATGTACACTGTGTGTAAAAGTTCGGTAACTTTTATGACCATCTTTAAACTAGATTCAGCCTTAGTCAAAAAGCTGGTTGTCTTGACCACAGAGATCCTCTGATTTTGGTTATAAAATACATTTAAATAACATAAGTGTAGATGTATGTAAGATTCCTGCATGGTGTGTGAAGTTGTAACTAGAAGTTACGCTTAAATAGTTTATTAACGTTATAATAAGTAAAATCAAAAGGTTTGATATTTTATAATACACATTTGCTTCATAAATCACACAGCATTTTTTTCATTTTGGAACACCACTGTTAAGTGTTTTGTTTTCTCACCTATTATTCCCATCCATCACGATTAAAGTCTATAGAAGATGATCAAGAAGAAACATGCACATCTCTCAAAACATTTATGTAACAAATCAAGTCTGCAGTAGGAAGTAGCTTACAGTAACTTCTAATCACAAGGCATACAAAATATCCATTTGCATCCAAATGCTACATTCCTTAAATTGCTGAAGTCACCAATTACTTTAATTTACCTTTCTAGAACGAAGTTATCAGGTTCCTTCTTTGTGACGCCCAAGCCAGTGCTGGGTGCAACAGAAAGAGTACTGTGAGAGCACTGTGTTTGAAAGCACGTTGACAGCTGCAGAACGGTAAGCTGCAGAATTAAACTGTACAGAAAACAAGGCCTGGTGAAGTGTAGTGGAGAAGCGTTTACAGCTTACAACTTCAAAGTTCTCTTCCTACCAGCCAGGAAACCTCAGCATCCTGAGAAACAGGTGGCATTCAAACTTCTCAAACTGAAGACAATACAGAGTATAGGCATTTCTTGCAAACTATCACACAAACTTCCAATTAAGGTTAGTATGTTGATCTCTAAAATTATACATACAGTGCCAGCAGACTGCAGCCTAGTCCTGTATCTCAGCAGGTTGCCAACATAAATATTCCTTCCCAATTCAAGACAATGCTACAATTAAATACATTTTAAAAATACATACAGAACTATTTCCTTTAATTGACAGTGAAAATACTTAACAGTGATGAAAGCAGAAAACCCACAAAGTATCCATCCATAAAAAACTAACTATATGGGGAAAACTTGCTAGGTTCAGCATGAAATCCAAATTCTAATACCTGATCCTTAGGCCAGTATTTGAGGCAGAATCTTTCAGCAAGCCTTTCCTCAGGAGTTCAAGCAAGAACAATTACCAAAGAGAGCTGGCACAGAACAAAACATACCATGCAGACAGATAGAACTAAAGTTTTTCTTTTTGAAAAGTGAGCATTAAAATATGTTTAAAAGACACATTACTTTAAATGACATCTTATTTGCTTTGCCTTGCCATGAGCTACTTTCTGCCAATAAACATCTCACCACATGACAAAACCAAGGTAGGCGCTCCACCTCAAGTAAAGCAGAACCTGCCACACCATGGGAACCAGTTTTCATTCCAATGTAATAAGGAATTAAAATCTCAGACCATGGGCCCACTGAAAAGCACCAAACCCTGCCACATGCAAACTTATCACTGCCAGTTGCACTGTGTAATGTTGAGAGTTGAGTACACAGATGAGTTAATGACATTAACTATTGCCTTAGATTTCTTTTAAACCATGACAAAAGTATGGCCTCTTGTTCAAAACACATACGTAGATTTAGTAACGTAAGTAAAATTAAGAAGGTATTCAGAGGAGACAGTATATGTTGCAAACATTTTAATGATTACTGTTGAGCTTACACATTGGGTGTTTTGTTGTTTTTAAACTTCAAACTGCAACAAGTTAAATAAATGTTTATAATATACAAAGAAAATACAACCAAAAGTAAAACTTGCTTTAAGTGTGCCTTGCACTAGAAACCAGTGTTGTGGGGTTTTTTTGTTTTTTTGTTTTTTTAATAGCTTCATTGTTGAACTGCACAAATACACTTAAGGATTTGATCTTCATAGCAGGGGATTTGAGAAATCAAAATATATTCCCACTTGAAAGAAAACAAAAGGTTGTGCATGATTATATGCAAAAACCCACTAAAATACTCCAATAGTGCAGGCACCATTAAAAAAGAAAAAAAGCTGGAGATGCCCATTAACTCTAAGTTTTAAGGAAGCAAGTTTCTGACCAGTTAGCTTAAAGCCAGCAAAACAGGGATCAGTGATGGCAACTGTAGTGTACAAGGTATTAAATGACAAACTTTACACAAATACACTGTTAGAAATTTGTATCAGTGAACACTGAAAATCTGATGATCTGTTCTTCGGAACAGTCAAACAGAACCACCTTAATTTCCAGTTGTGCAAGCCCTTGAAGCATCACACAGTGTTCTGTGCCAATTTCTTGCTGGCTGTGTAGTTACAAGGATTTATTCTGTCATTAGCAGCTAACAAAATTATTCCACATGTTCCTCACGAGTGAAAAAAGGCAAGTCTCGTCAGAGCACAGCGTGGAGATCATATTTTTCTGCACACAAACACAAGAGGCTTTGCTAGTATCAAAAAACACTTTCTGATGTCCAATATTGCAGTCAACAACTCAGTTGAGATGGAAGCCTTTCTCCATTGTAGCAGCTAGCAGACGCTCTCTCATAATCTCCTCAGAAGAATACTCAGGCAACTTCAGGTAATGCACACATGTATTCACAGATGGGTAACTGGCATCTGTAGCATCAACCTGAGGAAAACAAAGAACATTTGCTGCTGCAGTTGTTCACTTCATGTGCTTATGTAACATAAGGATGCCAAAAAACAATGGCATCTGGAAAGTTACAGACCTAAAAATGTATCTACTTTGTATGTACATTAAATCCTTTCTAAGCAAACGAGATATCAGAGAATGGACCTGAAACCCAGTACTGAAAGCTTGGCATTGCGACATGGATTAGAAAAGGAAAGAAGATTTAAAAAACAACCAAACAAACAAAAAAAAAACCAATGATTTTTGTTAATGCAGCAAGGCCTACATGCAAATGCCAAATTAGCTGATTTGGAAGGGTAACTTGAACAAACCACACCTTGCGTACAACAGTCAGTCGGGGATGTAGGTTTGCCAGTCCTCCTGGTGGGAGTGTTGAGCAACCAGTGGTGAACTGGAGGAAAGCCTTTCTTTCATCTGAAGACATACCACACAGAACTCTCACAAATCGAAGGAATCCAGGGCTTAAAATAAATTGAAATGATCAGTTATGATAACATTCTGTGACAGATGTTCTGCTACCCTCCCCAATTTTTCTTCAGACATGTATATCAGCATCTTTAGCAGTGCCTAAGTAATCACTGTAAGATTCCAGGTTCTGTTCAGCAGTCAGTGAAGAATAAAACATCATAAATCATAAAAACACTTTTTTACTCTTCTTGCTGAATACTACAAGGAAAATTGCAGGTAGATTAATAACAAATTCTCCTTACTTATCCTGGAGCGTTATTTGGCCATCTTCTCTAGCTGTTCCTACAGAAGAAAACAATTCAAAGCTATTCTCTGAAGAATCTGACTAAGCTTAAAACCTTTCATGTTCATATATGAGTTTGTTTCTAACTTGCTGAAAACTTCATGCAAAACAAAATATGAAAAAAAATGTAACAGACCACAACAGATCTTCAGAGAATTCTCTGGATACCACCACTTTCATCTGTATCAGCCCAAAAAACACGGACAAGAGGGCATGTATGAAGAAAGTATTACTTTCTGCAACATGCCCGCAGGTATCAGACACCGCAATTTCAGCTGTATCTTTGTATGCAGGGCAGGCTGCACTCAGCATCTCAGGCTGGTTAGGATCCTTCACAGAATGCTTATACTAACATAGTTTCACACCTAATTTCTATGTTACAGCTACTAAAAAAGATGAGTAGCCAAAAACAAACCATTAAGACCACCTCCCAGTAGCCAATCAGCAGTGTATATGACTGCACAGTACATTTTGTTTCAACTATACTTGAGTAAGAAATAAGAAATAAATGACAAATATCAACTGTAGCCAACTGAAGTCATAGCCACCAACAACACAGACAGAAGTAAAAATTCTCAAGTGATGCATTTTAATAGCATGTATAAGTAAGCTGCTCTTATACTTCCACTAGTTTGACACAAATATTTTCTTTGTTACTTATTCTCATCATGAAAACACCAAGTGCCTTCTAATCTGTCTGTTGTAACACAATTATTCCATATATGTTAAGGCAATTAGTTGTTCTTCAATCGCTGTCAATTCCCATTTTGCGTCTTTACCTAAGGAACATCCTAGGTGTTTTGTCAACCATACATCTAAGTGATTTTTAAATCACTTTGAACTGAAGTACCTGTCCCGTGTATATCCCAGTTTAGGTTCTGTATAATTGATGATATCCTCTGCTGCCCAGGAAGGTGACTGATTTCCACAAAGAATCGTCTGAACTTCTTCATGGCTGAAAGAACTCAGCTTCTCCATTGGGAAGACTCTGTTGAAGCCATCTTTAATATATACAAGATATTGTTATGAACACACACCAAAAGAATGTTTAACGAAATAACATCAGCACTTCAATTGTACTTCAATCAAGTAAACATCTACCAACATTTTCTAAATTAACAAAACTGAATCTCTCCAAGGTTTGTAACGGTATACCTAATGCAAAAGTGTTATGAAACAAATCTCTTACTTACCTGCTACATCCTCAAGTGTTTGTTTTTGAAAGCCATTCTACATCACTAATTCAAACCAGGACACTCTGAACATCAGGAAGTCCACTTAAATATATATTCTGCCATAATTAAAATTACCTCTGAATGCCTCCATCTGTTTCTGTATACCAGTATGCATACAGAAGTCAAACACGAGATCCACATACTCCTCTGCATTATCCATTGTTAAAGTCTGTAAAAACAATATATAA